AAGATTTGAAGCTACTGTATTGGCCTCAAGTGGGAGCAGGATATAAATAAATCTCAACTGCTTGTAAAGATGCAGACTTCCTCCTAAGAATTTGTTTATATTTATGAAGCGGTGGGGGGGGAACGGTCATCACTTGAGTGAAATCCTGTATTAGAAACTAAACATTGTAATGAAATTCACTGCTGGTTTGTAAGTATTTCCTGTTTGTAAATAATCCTGCTGGCAAAATTTGTCCTAAATAACTATTGTCTAGAAAGAAGAAAAACTTAACTGCAGATCCACCTGCAACTGAGAGAAGCATTCAAGACAATTATCCTTGAGCAAGATTTGTTTCTTAATACTTCTTTGATGTACAGTAAACTACAGCAATCTCTCATTATTACTGGTTGTTTTCCTGCTGCAAAGTTAACCTGCAGAAATAGGAGCAGAAGTTTCACTTCCCCCAGCTTACTGGTGCAGTCCTTGTAGCAAACAAACTTTTACTGGGCATTTTTGTGGGCTTATATTACAGCTGTTCATTTCTTTGCACGACCAAAAAAAAAGTAGAGAGGGAAGAAAGAGCCATGCTTCAATAGAAACCCTTCTTCAGGCGAAAAAAAAAAAAAAGAAAAAAAAAAGGGCACTTGCCGTTTATCAGTAAGAACTGAAAAAAGACATAGGTTACTGTTACAGCTGCAGATTTCATGTCCAAGTCAGAAAGTTGTAGCAAGCAAAAAGGACAGTTGCTGCATGGGTAAAATGCTGCACTGGGCATTTACAACATTTCATTATACTAACAGCTTTTGCGTAAGGCTCACTGACATCTGAGAATGTCACATCTGGTAGCAAATTAAAACTTGCAAATCTCCATTAGGTTGGTAATTGCTGTTCCCATTGTCAAGATGGCTAAACTGAGATGTAGTGAGTATAGTGAACTCACCACAGGGTATGTCTGGCAGAAGGCAGCTCACCCTTTACATTCAAAATAATGAACTACAAAATTACACTTTTAAGGAAATACTGTAGATCCATCTGACTTCCACTGAGAAGCATGTTTTCTCTGACATAGGCACAATCAATTAATGAAAATGAATACTTCAGATCATGGTGAAAATACAGAGTGGAACATTTTACTCTCTGGGATGATCCTGCTCACAAACATACATACTTTATATACGTAGTTTTCTTCTGTCAGCACAGTACCAACAAATACCCTAACTGTATCCATCATGTCTTGAAATCCCTGCAAGTTACTCTGGGCCCAGTTTTTTACCACCACTGCACATGGGTAGCAAAACAGGCTCAGATACACAAAGGTCTCAAGGTCCTTAACTCCACTGATTTCTTGGCTTTCTCCCTTGTATGAACTCCCTTCTCTCTCTTGTATGAACCGTCCCACACATTTCATTAAGAAGCCCTCAAGGAGTAAAATGCTGTCACACATTGTGGCAGAGCCAAAGTGAGTAAGGAGAGAGAATTGTGTTAGATCCAAAAACCTGTAAGCATCTGGTTTTGTCACGAATGTATTATAAAGCTGATAGAGGTAACTGTTATTGTCAGAGCTGACTGCTTAGCCATTATTTCTACCTTTTGCACCTGTTTTAGTGTCTGTCTTGTAATATATTAAGATGTTTCTTTCTCTTTCCTCTAAAGTGTCTGCCTGTGTGCTTACTGCCAGAGCCAGGAATGCTTTACTCTATGCGCTAGTGATCTGTTCCAAGGTTGGCTGCAGCTGCCCTGTGCAGCCTTGATGGAAGGGTACAGCGGGGCTGGAAATGGCACAGCTTTGTGATACTGCCATGGGGCATGGCCAGAAATGTGCACACCATGGTATACAGCACCTATAGGTAAAGGGGCCAACTGCCCACTAACAAATCCTGTCCCCTCCCTTTTGGAAACCCAAGCGTAGGTCTGATCTAGGCTGATGCTCCTGAGCTTTTGTTGCAGTTCAAGCTACGAGAATACAGCTCTGAGAGAAGCAGTAGTTAATGTTCTCCCTGACTCTTTAGTCTCTTTAGAAATATCCAAATATGTTACTTAATAGCTTTTTGTATAAAGCTTCATGCATTGCTTTGTTGCCTTCTGCAGATACGAAGGGTAAATTATCGGTATAATGTACTTTTAAATCTGTACTTATACAGACCAAAAACTTTCTCTCTTTCTCTCTACCTCTATAATAAAGCAGCATTTCTGTGTCGACGTCTCCCTTTCATAAATGTGCCGCTTTCTTAATGCCTTGCCAAACTACTGCTTTTTCCTTTTTACCTTTTATGCATATAAGTGGAAGCTGCTGTATGCAATGATTAACAACTGTGTCTGGAATATATCTACAGCTTTTATGTATATCATATTTCTGTCTAGGCCCTGATTCTGCAGACCTTTCTGCTTAACTTAACACAGCATGAATCTGTGACTTTCATTCTCACTTTAAAATGTATAACAAAAATGAAATTGTCACTTGAGTAACTCATTGCTTTCTTGAATGTATTTGTTACCAAGCTTCACAGAAATATTTAAACAACATTTAAACAACAAGCTATTTAAACAACCTGCTAACTTACTGGATTCTAATTTCCTTACACTCACATGAAGTAAAACTTTAAAAAATTATACATCCATAAAAATGTGTTTGTAATTTAATCTTTCTGACACACATTACATGAATGATAATTTAAATGAGCCATACTTCCAAGACAACTTCCAGATCTGAGTGATATCCGAAGTGAGTGAAATCAATACTTCAGATGCAGTAATGGGCTCATCACTCATGATGGAATGAGCACTGTTGGCAGGAAACTATGCTTAATATGAATAAACAAGTCACACCTAGATTTGTATTTGGCAATTTCTTGCACAACTGAAGAGAGGAAAATAGAAAGACATGATGGCTGAGATGCTGGTTTTAAGACCAGTCAAATATAATCTGCAACAGCTACACTTCTGAATAAGATTACCAGTACTCAACAGCACTGAGAGTTTTTCCTGTTTGATCAAATGGGTATAACAAATCTTCATCTTGTAACACTATTTCCATACTTGTAAAGTTCCATTAAAGGTGAAGATGATTCTTTCTCTGTATTAACAGAACAAAATTTGTCCCAGATTCTCAGACTAATTCTGCTAACAGGTACTACAATTTCTTTTCCTTATCTAATAATAATTTTAAAATCATTAGCTCTTCTCACATTCACTGATTATAACAGAGTGGGATGTAGCAAGTATAAAATTTTGTACTAAATTAAGGAAGAGAATCATGTTAATATTTTAAATTTTTATTACCGAAAACCTACAAAGCAGGAGATAATTCATCTTCTAATTTATCATGTTTAAACATTCTTGCATTGCTTCTAACTAAGACGTACACAGAGATCATGGTCTCCCCTGTGTTTGAACTTGCACTTGAATACTTGAGTCCTGTAAGGCCTTATACACTGTCTAATGAAGGGCGTGAAGAGAAAGTTGCATGGTCTGTTGCTGAGCACAAGTAACATGCATTCTCTTACACGGTTATCACCTCTATACAGGGGGAGATAAAGTAACTTTTCCAGGTACCATAGAATCACCAAATGGTTTTAGGTGGAAGGAACCCAAAAAGATCACCTAGTCCGGTTGCCCTGCCATGGGCAGAGACATCTTTCACTACACCAGGTTGCTCAAAGCCCCATCCAACCAGGCCTTGAACAATTCCAATGATGGGGCCTCCACAACTTCCCTAGGCAACCTGTTCCAGTGCCTCACCACCCTCATCATAAAAAAAATTCTTACTTATATTCAATCTGATATTCAGTTTCTTCCTTATATTAAAACCATTGCCCCTTGTCCTGTCACTACAGGTCCTGGTAAAGTCTTTCTCAGTCTTTCTTATAGGCCCCCTTTAAGTACTGAAAGGCCGCAATCAGGTCTCCCCACAGCCTTCTCTTCTCCAGGCTGAACAAGCCCAACTCTCTCAGCCTGTCCTCATAGGAGAGGTGCTCCAGCCCTTATTCCATGTTAAAGTACGTTCCATCCAAAAGCTCTACTTTGCTTCCCCATGTTTCTGAGTTCTTACAATGGTCTGGTCTGGGAATTAAATTATCTGGTGGCCTACACCAGTCCTCTGAATAGTCATTCAAGTTTAAAAAAAAAAATATATTTCCCTATACAGAAGAAAGTATATACTTGGTGTGAAAGACTGCATGTGCAAGTATGTGAGTGCACTGGTAAGTTTAGGAGATGAGAACAGCAAAGAGCTGGCTGATTATGTTTTTAATATACTTCAGCAATTCTCCTAGCCTGACAATAAACATGAGCACATTATTAGAATAATGTAGAACATTGCATCAATGTAGACACTGGACATAAACTCTTACATTTATACACAACGGAAAATGAACTCTTCATGTTTATACCTCTCTTAGAGAACAATGTTCATTGCCATCATCTTTCTATGCATCTCAGATGTTTATATAAAGAGAGAGAGAGAGCATAAATAGTTAGGCATGCAGTTATATATTCTCTCTATATATGTATTTCAGAAATTATTTCTGTATGTATAAAATAACAGTTTGTAAAGATAGCTATCTGTGAAGTAATAAACTGGTATGTATCCCTTGTGTTTCTTTTTCCTGTTATTAAATATCTTTGTTCAGATTCTTTCCACCATTCTTCTCCTTTCCCTGTCATGTTCCCCCAATTTTCCTTTAGTCTGACATGTCCTTCAAATTTTTGGGGTTTGTTTTTGTTCCTACCTTCTATTGTAGCAGGCCCTGAGAATTGTGTCTGCTTCTCATCACCATCTGTAGCTGGGGGTTATGGCTATAATCATCCCAAATAATTCCTCCCTTTTCTTCCAAACCACTATGGCCTAACACATCTTCTCCACCTGTCTTTCAAACTTCTATTGTCTTGGTTGGGAAGTCCATGGGCTGTGACTTCTGTTCCTGGCCTAGATATGTATTTTTCCTGAGCTAATGACCTGCATTAAAAGTCAAATTGGTTACTGGCATTTTATGGTTCTTCATGAGGAAGGAAAGAGTACTTACAGTTTTACTCCAAGTGAGACCTGTGGTATGATGCTCTTTGATATAAGCTTGAAGCTCAGACCAGATGTTCAGATATGACTTCACCCAATCAACATGGCGTGTGTCACTGTAAAAACAGAGAAAATATTTCTATGTGTGAACGTACATAAAACCAGAAAGCATTGCTACTTTAGCTTAAAGTGGGTAAAACCCAATGTCTGCTTTAAAGCCATGGACAAAGCAGTTAGCAAGCAGGCAGCCAGCTCAGTGCTAAAAATACTGAGGGCTACTACACTGGAAAGCTTTTAGATCCTTCCCAAGAACAAACAAGGACAAGGGGTGCCTCTAGCACAGAGTGCTTCCTGCTGGAAGGGTGTACCACCATTCTGTTAGGGCTCAAAGTCAACTGAAGAAGCACTAAAGGTAAATGGAGCTGCGCAGCAGCTACCCAGACTCAGTCTCAGGGTGCTGAATTTTAGAAAATTAAATATCCATGGGCTCTGTAAGATATTCTGTCTTCCAAGTTCAAATGTGGCCAGGGTAATACTGGATCATATTATAGTCATCAGACTGAAATATTTATATACCAAGAATTTTTAAAGCACAAGTCAGAAGTTGGCTCTGGAATCATTATTTGGAAGGCTTGGTCTTCCAATGGGACAGTAAGTGAAAAAAAGAAATATGTAGCGAGAGAGAAACTGTTTGTAAGATGGAGTCCTTAGTTATGAAGAATTATTGAATAGTGATGGTTATGGACTGGATGCTTACAAGGATTTGGGTGTCTACTTCCTATGTATTTCCTTTGGAATTTGATGCTTAATACTGCTGAGGATCGGGGTCAAAAAGTTTAATCCAAAACCCACTGAAGTCAAGGGGGAGCCTTCCACTACTTTGGAAGACATTGTGATCTGATTCAGTGAAAAACAGGAAAAGAATGCCTTATTAGGGGAAGAACTAAATACCTATATAAAGTACCCTGTTTATACCATTATGATGTGAGACATTTTCTTCTCCAGAATGAGTACTAAAGCTATATTGTAAAAATCTTCAGTTACCCCGGTGGGTACTACCTTCAATAGGTAAACTAAGGCTTCAGCAATAATATGAAGTATTATATATAGTATATAATATATATGTATACATGTACAATAAATATATACAAATATATGTAATATAAATACAGACAAAAGGTTTTTATATATGTAAAGTTTTCTTCACTAAAGAGGAAAAACTCAACAGCAAATACTGTTCTGCACTGGGATATAAAAATCAGGGGCCAAAATATGGCCTCCAAAAGTACCAAATCAACAGGATTTTTACATGACTTTTTTAAGAGGGCATAGGAAGGACCTGTATTTTTTCTCTTTCTCTGTCAGCTCACAGATCTCATTCATGAAACTTTTTTTGAATTCCTTGTGCTCTTTAAGAATGATACAGTGGTACAGAAAAAAATCGAATTGGGAGCTACGGAATTAGATGCTCATTTGTATACATCTACCACCTAAATGCACATTTTCAAGCAAAGAGCAAGAACAGCAACAGTATGAGTGCACAAATGAGACAAGGACGCGTAGCAGCTAGCTAGCCACATGTTGGTATGTAAATACACATTTGCATATAAGCTTATGATGCTGGAATGCCAGAAAATTAAATACAATCCTCTAATTTGCAGGGAGTGAAAACCAGCACTGCTAGTGCTGCTGCCATTCTCACTGAAACATGCTGCAGGTCAAAGATGAGGAGGGGAAAATATGCTACTGCAAGCAGCTTTCATCATATGCTTTTTAGTTTACAGAATGCTTTCTGTGATGGCATTGTGAACCCTACTGGTATGGTTAATGCTCTGTTCTCTGGCTCATAGATACTGGGGCTTTGGCAACATACCTGTGCTTGTAGTCCTTTAGTACCCTGTTAGTATAAAAGGTAGCAGCATCATTCATCTCCTTGACATAAGGGCCTGGTTTAGGAGACTAGGACCATCAACCCACGGTAGCAGGAAACAACAGAAGGAGAAAGGAAGTAAAACATTAGTCAGACACCTTTCTTGATGCATTAGGTATATTACAAGACACCTTCTTGGGTGTAGCAGACTGAAGAACTATGCAGATGAGACCGCAGAGTTCTGCAAGATTTGGAACTACTCTGGGCCACGCCATCCAGAAGCACATTTACAGCCCTCCCAGCCATCCTGTGCATCACTCACCACTGCTATCCACCCAAGGGCAGGTATGCTTTCACTGACGGCTGAGAGGTGGTTGAACATTTCACTTCCTCTGTTCCTTTCTCTGAAGTTCTGGATTTCCTGAATCTTCTCTGATATTGGCTTGAGAAGCATTGCCACCTCATTCTGGGGAAAAAAAAAAAAAAAAAAGAAAAAGATGACCCTGCTGTTACAATGGGTGGTTCAAAAACACCCTGTGGTTTAACATTGTCCTCCCTGCCCATGGATTTAACAGTTGGAAAGAAAGGTCTCTACATTTTCTATATTAAAGTAACGATTTCATTACCCTCCTCTGGCTGCAGCGGCAAAATGCACAGGCATTAAGTATTAATAATGTGTTGCAGCAAAAATTGTTCTTAGCACTGGCAGCATTTTTACATGCCTCCCAGGTTAAGACCCATAGAGACCCCATAGCTCAGAGGTAGCAGAATGCTTGTATTTTTCATCTGACATCCCTGGAACTTCCTCAGAGTCTTTACACTGACTTGAGTTTTTGAAGCTATTAACCAAGTTGTTCTTTCTATAAGAAACACAAACTACTTGTTAGGTTAGTGGCCTCTTATCATCTGGCAACAAGACTGAGAAAGTAATAGACTGAAGGCAATATCAGTTTTAGCTTTCCCTGTTGGTATGTTTTAATGTTTTAATTTCCTTTGGCTGCAAGTAATGTGGGAGGATTTCATGGGAAACATACTGCCTGTAAGCCATGGTTTGGGGAAATGCTCCTGCGTTAGTCAGAAACGAATGGTATCCAGGGGAATGACTGTTGAGTGGAAGGAATAGTGCCTGGAGTGAAGAGAAAAGCAGAATGAATGTAGAAGCGATCTGAGCTCTTTCCTGAGCAAAGTGAATGCTAATCACACTGGCCCAGTGCCTCAGAAAAACTAATTTAGAGCACTAACTTACTGGGAAATATTCTTCCACTCAGAAACTGCACATTCAGGGACAAGGAGTCATTAGTTCACAAGGAAAACGACTGCTGTACCTTGTGACCCCATAAAAAGTTTCTATAAAAACAATCCAATTCTTTACTGCAAAATTATGCCCGCGGAACCCATACTATTTCCCACCAAAGAGAGTCCACCATTCTGATTTCCCCTGGCACTGCACTCGGAAATCACTCGGGACATAGCAGAACTCTACTATATTTTCTCACCTTCTCTCAGGACTACTTGTTTAATGGAATTAAGTGCTTGCTGGAGACAACTAATCGTTACATTCTCGAGGACGAATGCTGTCCTGACACACACAAGATGATGTGTGCGTATGTCCTGCTTGATCTTTGTCATCTGTAAGATATTTCTTTTCACCCTTCCACAAGACCTCAGCTTTACAGAATTTTACGTCTTAAAATAAGCATGTCTGCTATGGATCAACATAGGTCAAAAGACACTCCAAAAACAAGACAAAAAGAGGTTCTGCATTTTTAAAAGAATTATGGGGCCTTAATATTTCAGTGGTAATGTAATTCTGAGAAAGGCCTATGCATCTGAAATACATGGGGATATTTGGTCTTCTCCTACAACAAAGCGGGTTGGGAGAAAACAAATATTTACAGTATTGCTGGGAGATGAAAAGATTTTTTGTTGATGGCTTAATGACCAGCATAAGTCATTTAAGTCTGAAAAAGCCTTGAAACCTCCATGATCTGTAGTTCTTCAAAACTGATTTTGTTGCCATAACATGATAAAGTCTGCAGGAATTCGTCTTTCTAATTTTTCCTGCAGCTGGTTGGTTCTTTCTTATTTTGCAGGGAAATCTTTCAAGTATGACAGTAGTTAACAAAACTGAAATTTAAGAAAGTGCTTGTTCTGCTTTGATATTATGCCAGTTTTCCTCCCATAAAGTCTCAGGGATATTTACAGTCCTTAGCATACTGTGAATCTTCATGGCCCCGTTCCAGCCAAAGAGAATATCAGGCCTAAAAATACAGCTCCGCAGATGCCTGGTGTAGCTAGGCAGCACTGGGAGGCAGCACGTTTCTGTGGACAGGGCACAGAAGTGGGAGTCTGTAAACGGGGGTTCTCTTTGCAGCTCTCCCACCGAATTATCATCAGGTTTCAGGAAAGCTGTGTTACCTGTCTGTGCTTCAACTTCCTAGATATGGAATGATGCTAATATGGCTGTTTTATTTTGTAGAGCACTTCGATATCTACAGGTAAGAAGGCAAAATTAGGGCCAAACGTTTTCCTGAATGGTACCATAAGACCCACGCCTCCTCCTACTCCTCCTAGAAAAACTCCCAACCACTTTTGTGAGGGTTTTCTATCAGCAGTACATACAGAATTTCTGTCCCTCAGAACACAGGACTTAACCTATCCAGCAAATCAACTGTTTATTAAAAAGGTAGTGGATTTATCTAATTTCACAGAAAAAAGCACCCTGAGGAAGCATTAAAGGTAAAATATGTCTTGCTAAGGAAAGCAGCTCAAAGTAATCATTCATGTGGTGCTGCAGTGGCACCAGAAAGAGCCACCAAGGGCTTGAGGCTTTGCTCAGCTCCATCCCATGTGCGATGTGCTGGAAGAACAGCACAGCCCGCCTGCCCTTCATCTCCACTTGTCCTGTTCTGCGATGGCTGCTGGCTGGCCGGCCGGCTGGCTGGCTGCACAAAATCATAGAATGTTTGGGGTTGGAAGGAACCTTTAGGGTCATCTAGTCAAACCCCCCTGCAGTAAGCAGGGACATCTTTGACTGGATCAGGTTGCTCAGAGCCCCATCCAACCTGGCCTTGAATGTTTCCAGGGATGGGGCCTCCACTAAATGCGCCTGTGTGTTTGTGCAAGCTTCTGGTGATCCAAATCTGTGCCTAAGGGTTGGACACAAAGGAATACCGGCCTGCAAGGAATCACTGAATTGAGTCCTGTCTCCCCGCAGTCAGTTCTAAATTTTTAGTTAGTGATTAAACTGCAGATGAATTGTAGTATATATGGCATAGGGGTATTAGAAAGGCTCATTAATTCTGGCAGTAATCAGTCTTGTTTGGCTCTACAGTGCAGAGCCAGTTGTGCTGAGGGTTCTAGAAGAATAATCTCTTTATTGCAATGAATATTAAAACAGCTGGTTGTTAATAAAATGATTGTCTATACTGTATCTCTAAGAAAAAATGAATTCAAGGAGATGAGTCAGAGCTGTCGGAAAAATCTTCAGCATGCCTTTGGCATGTGCTAGATAAAATTTCTTGTCATTTAAGACACAGCACAGGTGTTTAACAGAAATTTAAGAGTCTTTGTGTAAACACCATTCCTATTATAATGTCAGTTTTGCTGAGATGTTTAAAAATGCAAGTGGCATAACTTAGAAATATCAAAAGTGATTCCCAGTATGCCTTTGTCCTTTCTTTATAATTATTAAAACCAGATGGTCTTTTTATTAATATATTAATACTTAAACAACCAGCCAGCTTTGATCCATGTCATATAGTTCTTATTAGTAAATCAAGAGTAGTAAGACTGCTGCAGTGATTAGCCAAAACACTCAAAAAAAGTTACAGCTTGCAACAAGAACTGCCTTAGGCTTTGGCTTCAGAGACTTAAATCTCCGCCCAGTCTCATAAAATGGCCTGGCATACCAGTATTCCAACTGACCGCACCAAACAGACTTTCTTCTCCTTCACATTTTTGTAATAGTCATACAAGAAGTCTTCCTGATGACAGGTTTAACAGGACTGGGCCACATGGATTTAATTCAGAAGAACGGCCAAACTTCTGGGTTTTGTGATTTTTGTGATTTGCCTGTGAAGTCACTCTAAACTTGAAGTGGCTCACCTAAACTTTGGCTGCTTCAGCCAGTGATTACTTGAAAACCTTAGCTTTCATTTGAGATAACTGGTATTTTCTCAGGACCATTGTTGTCCAGAAACCTGCCAGTATGAATCACAAAGGCGCAAAACCCAGCAGGTAAATAAAAATACAGTTTTTAAAGATCTGATGTATTTTTAAGCTAATCTTACATGGTCTTGAGGGGTGAGACTGTTTACTGAAGAATTTTCATGTTGATGGGTGGCAACACAATTCAGACCTCACTATTATAGTGTTTAAATCAACCTGACCTATTATGAAAAAAACATGGCAAGGGAACAAATACCCTTTTAAGTTATGCTTAACAGAGGGGGTGGCAGCCTTTGGTGTAGGAGCAGTGAAAGAAAGATGAGAGCATTGGGGATCAGCAGCCCCTTCATTTTGCTCAGCTGCAACCAGAACAGCATGACTACAACCTCTATTCCGTGGTCTACAGGTCTGTTATTTTCTTCTGTCAGTTCAAAATCTCCATCGTACTTACATTGTGTTTTTCACAGGCAAGTTTGAAACAGGGAGGTGATTTGAATCAGCTGTCTTTGTATATGTTGGCAAGTAGTGCAGCCTAATAGGAATGGTTCTGTAAAGCAAAACAGTTGGTGCTGGGGACCTGACATTCACACTATACGCTTTTGGAGGGGGGGTGTGCTATTTGGACTAGCTGTAAATCTTGGCTTAGTGCTGTCTGGGAGTGTATCTTCAATTTAATGTCATCAGAAAGATAAGTATTTTGTACATCCTAAGACTGCTCTGCAGTGTGAATCACAGTTGATTTGAAGGAAAAATATAGTCCTGCTATATAATGCAGACACGGCCGTTATCTCTGCAAACAGCCTAGTACAGTCCCATCCCGCATTTCATCCTTCCAAGGGATGAAAGATGTCATGGATAGTGTCCACCACACTCAGTGTAACAATTCAAAAGGTGAGTATCTGCTCTCAGCTGAGACTTGATTCTCTGTATTCTAAATGAAGAGAGAAACTCCCTGAGAAATTCTTCCAACCCATTAATCGATGTTAGAAGACTATATACTAGAAGACATTGATAGATGTGAATTGTAGACTCATAGAATCATTGTTTAGGTTGGAAAAGACCTTTAAGATCATACAGCCCAACTGTTAACCTAACACTGTCATTCCACTACTAAACCATGTTCCTAAGCACCTTGCCTACCTGTCTTTTAAGACTGCCCTCTAGAGGTGCTGCCCATAAGAGAGAGCCTAGAAAGACACCCGACACAACGTGCCTACCTTGAGAGTTAAAGCTGATGAGCAGAATCCCATCCTGTGTCTATAGGAGTAAGATGGTAGCTTCAGTGATCACCAGTGA